CGTACTTAACTACGTACGACAGACGTCGACGACGACGACGGACGAGTAAAAAAAAGAGAGAGAGAAGAGAGGAGAGGAGAAAGGGGAGGGCGAGAGGGAGGCAGCGGCTGTAAAACTGAATCTGCCGACTCAGAGTCCCAGACCCACGTCCCAGACCCGCGAATCTGCTAAGTGTAACTGCCCCCGGGGTGCCACACCTGCGGCCTGACTCACTGGCCTCCTCTGGCCACTGCAAACCCAGTCCTTGCACGTCTTTACCGTCCTGCCCTCCTGGGAGGTATCATCATCATCAACCCAAGATGCAGAAACCTCACCGTGGAACGTGAACCACCCCCTCGGTCCCCTGTGCTTGAACGTGCGTCTGAGACGTTAATACACCTGGATTAACTCAGAGGGGCCGTCTTCTACAAGCAGAAATGTCAAATCATTGTTGGACGGATGATTTAACAGATGTTTTAAAACCAAAGCTTGAGTCTGGTATTTCACTCTATGGGCACAATTTTAACCGTTAGTGTCAGGCAGGTGCACAGAGATTCCACAAGGCAGAGCCCTCTGCTCTACAAGGGAAGTACGAGGATGCTGGGCTCCCCTAAGATCAGGAAACGGCACCAGGAAGCAAGGCCCCAGCCGCACGGCGCGCCTGCCGCTGAAGGCATGCTGCTGCTCCACGGGGACCCTGCTGATGCGACCAGACTGAGCACAGAGCTCTGGGAGAATGGGGCTTTTTGTTAGAAATCCCTAGTTACAGAGACAGTTAGCACTAGGTTCTCTGATCATCGTCCCTAAAACTGCCAAGTTTCACAGAACAGCCGGGAGCAGCAGCGCTCGTTCAGGCCTGAGCGGCTTCTCGGCCTCCGGGGTGAGGGGCTGCGGGAGGTCGTCAGGACTCCGCCCAGGCCGCCCGCTCCCCGGCCTCCCTCCCCGACTCGGCCCCCCTTTATTCACTAAGGGAACCGCAACAGCAGGGAGACCTATACACTTTCTCTAACTGAAAATTTTCAAGTACTGAAAACGTTCCTCAGTTCAGCTCTGATAAAAGATACCTTGAAGTCGGTACTGAATTTTCAGTGTTTGACCTGCACGTCTGGCACCCAAGCGCCCCGCACGCACCTGCCTGGCCTCCTAAGCTGGCTCTCCTCTCCGGCTGTCGGTCACGACCACGCTTCAGCGCTACTGCCTGTGTGTCAGTCAAGGCTCCAAAGAGGAACGCGACAATTTCAAGAAACACACTAAAAAGATTTAAGCTAGCTAACAGCAGCACATACTAGAGATTAAGAAAGGCAGGCACACTGCGGTCCACGCAGTGTGACCTCATCCGGGGACAAGGGACGTAGAGCACACAGCTCAGCACAAGTGGGAGGAAACACCGACCCGTGAGCCCCGCAGCAGAGGACCGACGCGCCGGTCAGGGTCGGGGTGCACCAGGTGGAGACAAGGAGGCCGAGTGACGCCCAGGGGCACTGCGACATCACAGCCTCGCTAACCCGTTCCTCCAACACTCAGCACAAGTGGAAGGCATGCTGTGTAGCAGACCCCATGGGCGCCCCTCGCTCTCCTGCGGGGCAGTCCAGCAGATGTGCACCGGCCGAGCAATGATGCTGCCATTGCAGGACACGCTCTGGTTCCCTGTCCCCGGGAGGGCTCATTTCTCAGCTCCACCCCTGACCCTCATGGAGAGCTGGCCCGCAGCCTCAAAGATCATCAAACCTCACCAACACGCAGGGTGGCGGAGACAGAAGCTCTGCGTCAGGCTCCCTGAGCCGGGGCCATACCTGGGCGGCAGACGGGCCTAAGGCCAGAGCGGTGACCGTGTCTAAGTGTCCTGCGAGTCTGCAGGAGAAGGTGCTGCAGCCCGTCTTGCACACGTACGCCTGGAAGACAGAATGCATGCACTTCTGTGCGGGGCAGCCAGCCACCAGCAAGGAGTCGCACAGTGCAGAAGGTCCTCTGGCCAATGTGGTCAGAGCAGCAGCCGGGCAGCGGGCACAGCGCCCACCAGGCTGCAGAGAAACCAGGAAACGCGCTTTCCCCTCTAGGAAGTGTGTCATCCTGACGATCCACGCCACACTTTCTGTTTTCCCCATGAGCCTCCTCGGAGCAGCTTCAGACACAGGCTCGTGGCTGAGGACGGATCTTAAGGGAGGAGTGCAGACTTCGTGTCCAACCTCACCTGCAAGTCCCAACTTGGGTGGAAAAAGTACGTTTCATTGTCCTTTTCCATAAACTCGAGAGCGAGCCATCTGCACTTTGCTTCCTACTAATCAGCTAGGATTTGAGTGATTCAAATGTTTAGAGTGTTTTCACAGTTGCTGATAAAATGAAAAATAAAATACACATTCCCCTCTAACGGCATTATTCTGCAAAGAGAAATGTGTGCAGATTCGCCATCTAATGCTTCATCTAGGGACAAACTCTGGCCCCGATGCCACATAAGAGACGGGATAGCCGTTCTGAATATGAGGCAACGAAGGCGCCGACAAGCACCACCAGCTCTCCTGGGAGAAGTGGCCCATCGCAGTGGGGAGACCGCAGAGCTGCCCCCGTTCCCCACAACCTCAGGTGCCCGTGAGTCCTTCAGATTCAGACCTTCCAGGTGATTCTGCCATTGGCTAGACAGTGGTTTTGAAATAAAGTCTGCAAATAGGTGTTTTACATATTTTGAAGTAAAGTGGAGAAATAATGGTTGCCTTTCGCCCTCTGGCCCAGACAGGTGTTGATCTGAAAAGTATCCGTTCACTTAACCTGGAAGTTCCCCAGAGGCTCCTGGGGTTGGCTCCGAAGGGACCTGAGACCGAGCATTTCTCACGGGTTCCCAGAGGGGCGGGTGCCACGGCCCAGGGACCCCACACTAAGAACCACGGGCTGGAGTGCCCACACCTGCACCACATCACCGTCTGCAAAACACCTGAGCTGTTATGTAAACCATAACTGCCGGTGAATCGCTGATGTCCCACGTTCTCCTGAGGAAACCAGGACACGGAGGGAGCAAGCTGCTGGCACGGCCACCAGGGGCCCAGGGGTCCAGACTGAGGTTCTAAACGGCTGTTCCGACTCAAACTTCTTTCCGTTCCAGGAGGCTGCCAGTGACCACGCCGCTCCTGAGGACTCCAGGGTCCCTCTGGTCACACAGGTGCCTCAAAACCACCCCTGCCAGTTTGCACTGACTCGGGGGGGTCACATGAATTTTAGGGGGGACAGAGCTCCTCCCTCCTTCCTCCCCGAAGGACCAGGAGCAAGAAAAGTGCAGATGGACGATGGCTAAGGGACGCGTGTGCGAGGTCCCAGCTTCAACCCCCAGAACCTCCCTTAAAAGGCGGAGAAAAGCAGCTCCGGAGTCAGAAGGCAGGCTTTGAGGTCTGCGTTTCCACTCTTGCTTTAATCAGCGCCTATTACATAATCATCTCTTGCTGAAAAGTCCGTCCTGAGACTCCTTAGTTTTCACCTAATTCTTCATGGAAACGAACAGTGGTGGCCTGTACTTGCATAAAATCTCAAAATACACAGAGAAGGCCACCATGATATTGTGACAGAGTCCAGGTAAGAGCTACTGAGGAAGCAGGCTTCTGCGTCCTATACACAAACGGCGGGAAATGAAACTTACCTTTTCACCCAGAAGGTTCATGAGTCAAAGGCATCTTTCTGGTCACAACAAACTAAACATGAAAACGGCAGTTTGCAGCCCAAGTATCAGAGATACTTCAGTAGACAAGCTCTTGTCGACAGTGGCAACAATCAGTCCAGAAAGACAAGGTGCACTTTATACAATGTGGCAGAAAAATTAAAAGAATTCTGCAGATGCCTCTATCTGCCTACAACCCATGGGAAGAACAAAATGTCTGAATTGAAGTGATACTGTCACTTCATTCATGAGGCAACTTCTCCCCATCGAAGAGCAAGCAGCTTTGGCTGAAATGTACTGAGAAGCAAAGGAAACTTGAAATGAAACCAGCACAGAGTAAATGTTAGCCCAAAGCTAAGTTAATAAGTCCTGAGAAAAGGAGTGACAAAAAGGAAGCATTATTTTTTCAGGCCAAAGATGAGGCCGTGGCACCAAGCACACGGTGCTGGAACGATGTTTGCTCGAAAATATCTTCAGGAAAGTCGTAAAGGACTGAATGTACCACTGAAAAAGATGACTGTTTCACAAACAGGCCTAGACCAGCTCATGACGACGGTTTTGTGATTTTGTTGGACCGTATCTGTGAACTTGAAGTTCCTCTCACTTTCCGTCCCACAGATCTAACGCGTGTCCCGCACACTCCCTCCCCGAGTCGTCCCCAGAGAGCAAAGGGTGGGGAGCTGCACATGGACGTCAGCTCCGGGCGCTCAAAGTTTCCGACAGTGCTGGTCTCGTCCGCAGGGGAATCGACCGGCACGTCACGGTCACTTATTCTCCCTTTTAAAATATTTCCAGAGATGACATTTCTCCAAACTGTGCACATTTCTTCAGATAACTGACTTTTTATGAAAAAGAAAAACACTTCTCAGAAGACTGAGATGTCCAAGGTTTAATCAGAGCCTGACTGAAGAGTGCACTGAGACAGCAGCACTGCCCACGGAGGCAGGAAGCGGAGACCCCGGGGCGAGATGCTGGCGACGGTGCACCGGGGCCTCCCGCCAGGTCGAAGGCAGGCCCTCAGTCTCTGTCCACCTCCAGCAAGGTCTGCGGCAGAAACCGCGGCAAACAGAGTGACAAGCTCTGCCGGTCCCCTGCCACCTCCCGCGGCAGACGGAGCACGGTGGGTCGCCGGACTGGCGCACTGGTCTCACCACTGGGGTCACACACCCAGAGGAGGCGCAGCCTTAATCATCTGAAACAAGCCTTTGTCAACTTTGTTCCAAACAACAACCTGGTCTTCTCAGCATCTTTGCTGAGAACTACTTATCTGAGGATTCATTACTTCATGCACACGTTTTGATTTCTTTGGAAATGCGATCGTAGAGAGAAGCATTAGGGCAAAGGGACCTGACCAGGGGCAGCTCCCATCCTCCGCAGCTGTGGCGCCATCCTGTGAAACCACAGTGTGATAACGGCTTCCTGTGCAGCCAGACACAAGCACGATTCCTCAAGTGCAGCTACACACAGTGTGACTGCACCGTGCCCCCACGGCGGGCAGCAGCGCCACAGCTGCAACATCGCAGGTGGACAGCCGGTGATACCCTGGGAACAGGGGGATCAGGGGGACCAGGGGAGCCCGGCGTGCACGCAGCCCTCAGCCAGGACGCGTGCCACGGAGCGGCCTCCCGCGGCGCGGGGTTCAAGCTCACCCGCGTCCAGCGCTGCCTCCAATGTCTGCACCTGGCTTCTTACTTTGAAAAATGTCAGACAGAGAAGTACAGAGATTACACAGCGAATTCATACACACACCCAAACACAACGTTGTCGAGACTCAGCTGCACTTGCTCCAACCACCACGGCTTTTCCTTTTCTTTCGGCATTTGGGGTTGAAGAAAGAGGACGTGGTTTGCAGCAATTCACAAGGACGCCGTCCTGCGTGTTTTGTCAGCGTCCCTAACTGCAGCCACTCCGCACACAACCGCACGGCCATTCCACACCCAGCTAAGACAGCAACACAGGCCTGATGTCCGCTCCCAGCACCCTCACTCGTCTTTCACAGCTACTGGGGGAAATCAGGACCCAAACAAGACGTGCACGTCGCCTTTCTGTCTGTCTCACTGTTCTTCTGGAGCCGCCACAGACTCGATGAACAGCCTGACTGGCTCCTGAAGGGCGTTCCCCGCTCAGGGCCTGTCTGCCCGCCTCCGCGGGCTGCCTCTCAGCCTCTTCACGACCCGTGCGCTTGCCGCCAAGCCAGACGTTACCCGCAAAGGCTCAGGCTCAGGCTCAGCTGGTCTCACGGGACCGTCTGCAGCGAAGACTAACGTGGTGTGCACCTCAAGAGGGCCTCACGTGACGTCTGGACTGTTCCCCCTGGCTGACGCTACGCCCGGCCAGACGGTTCAGGTTGCGACAGCACGATGCTCCCGGGGAGAACGTCCCATCCATTGTGTTTTTAATTGAACAACATCTGACAGAAGCTCGCCCCCTTAACAAAGGTGTCCGCACTCAATGCAGGCCTGCCGACCACAGGCACCGGGCTGCACAGCAGGTCCCCAGACCTCCTCACCTGCAGCCCTAACCTCCACACCCTCCACTACCCCCTCCCCTCGCGGTGGCCCCCTCCATTCCACTCTCTGCCTCCGAGAGTCTGACTGTTCTGGATTCCTCAGGTAAGCGGGGCCAAGAGCGCCTGTCCTCTGTGACTGCTCGTTGTGCTGAGCACCTTGTTCAGCCACGTCGTCCCACATCGCAGGACTTCCCTCCTTTTTGTGTCTGAGTGACCTTCCGCTACGCGTACCCGCACGTCGTCTTGTCCACTCAGCCGCCAGCAAGTGCTGGGCGTTTCCTCATCTCGGCTGCTGTGCGGGGTCTGCAACGACACAGGAGCACAAACACCCCTTCAAGATCCTGGTTTCAGTCCTTCTGGAAGAATGCCGGGACTGGGGCTGCTGGGCCACACTGCGGTTCTGGTTTTAACTTTCTGAGGAACCGCTACACTGTTTCTCGCAACGGCTGCACCATGTTGCACCCCAACCAGCAGTGCACAAGGGCTCCGGTTTCTCCACAGCCTCACCAACACTTGCTCCCTCTGTCTTTTTGATGACAGCCATCCTGACAGGTGTGAGGGGACACAGCACGTGGGTTTGGTCTGCATTTCCCTGATGATGAGCTGAGCATCTTCTCACGTGTCTGTTGGCCACCTGCATGTCTTCTTTGGGCAGATGTCCATCCAAGCTGCCTGGGGTCATGGGTCATCATCAGGCAGTGTCATCCACTGGCGACGCTGGCT